ATCTGCAATAACAAAATGAATACTGATATAAAAATTAGGTAACACCTAATAGCGGAGCTCCAATAGCAATATAGAAGCTGAAAATGATTATCTAGTACTGCTATTTCAAAGGTAGATGCTCTGTTCTAAGGAATGTGAGCTACAACAGTTTTGTTGACATGCGAACAAATATTATAAAGAGTATGTTTATGAGAATTTAGTTCGTACTAATATTGACTTCGGTAGATTTTGTTCCGTTGGATGAAGTTTAATATTATAATCTATAAAGGTCAATYGATTAAAAGTAAACTGAAAGCTTCTCGGCAAAAAGTAGTCTACATAAGCTTACAATAATCAACATTGTTTCGATCAATAATCGATGTTTGAACCCGGACTACTCGGACTTCACATATCACAGAAAAATGTATACAAAAATATATTTTTTACCTCCATTATCGAACTTCCGATAAATTATCGTTCAAAGGTCATCTTTGACAGAGCCATACTTGTTTCAAGCATAGGTTTCATCAATTTATTAAGTCATTCAAGACTGTAGATTCTTTGTTTTTAAAACTGCTAGCATGGTCTTGGTTTCGAAATGTCCACACTTTTAGTCGACAAAAGAACTTCGCATAGATCCCTACTTTTTCCCATATTGGTCCATATTATTGAAGTATTTCCAATAAAGTATCATTTCTTTCTTGTTGTCGAAATATCAAAGTAAAATCCTTTTTTACTAATATCACTTTTAAGATGGGCCTAAATTGCTTTTCATCTTCGCAAATCGATTTCCCGGATGTGCGGACGCGTCGAAGTTATGACAAAATTGGCGGGAATATTTCTATGCTGTTATTTCGCTCTTCAGTGGATTTTTTCCTTGTGATTAATTGTTCTAGTATTATCAATATGTAATATAAATGTTTAAGGAAAAAACTTCGATTTTTCAGCAAATACTTGGCGCTTTGTTTCCTTTTCGAGCGGAGTATGGGTTTCCTGTGGTGGTACACGGAATCNAGTTTTGAGACTAACACAGACCATCAAGAACTCTAAATCGGAGTATTTTAAATAACTAAAATTGAATATATAATTTTATAAGGCAATCCCGAGATTCATTGCAGGCTCAAGACCGTTCACTGTGTCCTGGCGACGACAACATTTTTTGAAATAGGTGTATAAGCAATAAACAACAGTTTCGTGCGTTGCTAGTGAAATATACCACTTGGGACATTGAGAAAACAGTCAAAATGCTGAAATATCTCCGGCTCGAGAATTTTCACGCCTTTTCGTGTTCTCCCAACATCCCGCGTGGTTTATTTCATCAGGAACGCACAGAAACGTGTTGTTTATTGCTTAATTATACCAGTCGTGACATATTTCAAAAAACGTTGTCGTTGAAAATATGTTTCTGTTACAACTTTTCCACAATAAGGGATTGCAGGCAAGAGATGCAGAGAACAATGCCATGTAAAGACCCTATATACTAGGCTACTGAACATTACCAATATCACAGTTGTCTTTAGTTAGTGGTTATAGATGAAATTATGCTTCAATTTAGACCACTTTCGTCTACAACAATGTGACCGCAGCATATGTACGTTAAGGACGTTCGAGGGCATTGCTACATGGCACGCTTTCTGCGCACGTCAAAACCGGAAGTTTTGACATAAAATATAACATATGTGAAAGCGGAAAAACGACATCAGAGGCTTCTGAAATATAGCAGATTTAGCTAGAAATGACATCTCTTCTTGACGTCGAATGTCAAGGCTTGACACGAACAAAATCACATCATGTAATGTTTCAAAGTCTATAAACAATGTTAACAGTTATCGACCTTAGCTTTCGGGAAAAATTTTGGATCAATTGATATGTGTTTTATATTTTTAGAGAACTTTTTTGGCAAGCGACATTGACCCGTTTTCGCGCGGTTTTCTTTGCGAATTTTCGCGATTTTGTGCAAGAATTATCTCTAAAATGAAGCCGGTGACATCCATTTTTTATCGCTTTCTTGCAAGTGTATATCATCGAAGTTACATCACGGAGTCCAATGTCCACGAACGTCCTTAAGGAGGTTTCTACATTATTTCTCACAGTGCTTTGTCTGCTCAGGTTACTACCTATACATAGAATCATCATTACCAGCAAAGCAAAACGATCGGGCAATACTGATTAGCCCGCCCATAACTTCTAAACTTCCAAAGTGTTTGAAGTTTGCCTACTCGATGTACGGAAGAACAACAGGTTCCCTGGAAGTCAAATTGCGATATAATGGGAAGCACTTAAGCAAATTTTACAAACATGGTGATAAAGGAAATTTTTGGCACACTGCCGCTGTTACTTTTAATTATCCCTCATTGGCGGGCTATCAGGTTGGTGACCACTTACAATGATTTAGTATTTAAGTTAATTACTGGTATAAAGTGTCAGGTTCGCATGAACCCGTGAAATATACGTTAGCGTTCTACACTTAATTACTACGCTTTATTTTGCACGTTTTTGTTTGCCTTTTCGTTGCGTCAAACTCGTATTGCTTCGATGCTGAAACCCCGGGGGGAGGAGGGGACTTCCCTATAAAGCATGGTAGGTATGCTCGACGGACGGATTTGAAAAATGACCCTAAAGTCCTAAAGGTACGCATAAATTAATTCAGGTATCGATTCCAGACCCTAAAAGGTACGAGCATTTTTGACGTCTTTAACAGGAGAAAAGCTCAAATTTAACAAACTGTAGAAAATGTCGATAGATTGTTGAGTTTAATAAAATCTATTTCTTTATTAAAACTTCTTCAATTTTTTCCCGTTCAAAATATGACCCAAAAATTGTACGGAGTCAGCTCAGGACCCTAAAAGGTATTCCAAAATGGCGCAGGAAAAGCAAAGAAGACTATTCTATTTTTAAGGGGTCGCTTGTTTGCGATAGTCTTATCCACTTCTCATAGATTTTATGCGGATTTTATCTCTTGGAGAGAATCAATTTTTTACATAGGTAAACTCCCTTCATTCACACGATTAACGAGTAGTAAAACTACTGGAACTAATTACAAAATTGTATGTGATTTGTTAATACAATTGGAATTGAGAATTTATGTAGTTGTTTTTCCTTAAGGTGGAGATTATTGCCACAGTCGGTCAGTCAGGCTTCTCTGACATCGCCATTGATGACGTTTATCTTGACTCTGGAAAGTGCTGTAAGTATGCTCACCAATAGAAACATAGCCTATTATTTTCTGTTTTAAAGACTTCTTTACACAATCTAGGTTTAATCATAGTGAAAAAATAACAGCTTTGTTTACATCAGACAAAGGATTGTTTTATTTTTCGAGCTTTCGGATGAATCGACCCATCTGATGTGGGAGCTAAAAAGGTGAGATAAATGACTTTAAACTTGAAAAGTACATGAGGATTGCAGTTGTTGCGTGCATAACTCACACGATATGTCAACAGTGTTAGTGTTTAGTTCAAATCTGAACGTCCCCAGTTATTGAAGAAAATACTATTGTTTTTGGAAATAAACCATGCATCCCCCTCTCTTCGCTTCTTTTTTCCCTTTGCAAACTTTCGTTGACCATGTATTAGCTGGTTTTTTTTACAGCTTAAGTCTTTTTTTTAAGTTTTTTATTACTATTAAATTGACCAAAGTTAGATATACAATGTTCACTTAAATAATATTCGCAGTTTACATCTTAGAGAGCGGCGACAACCGAGATAACTAATAATTAAATTACATGCAGTTTTGATAGCTATTAATAGATATTAATTCACGGCTTTAAGTCATTTGTTTCAGCATAGTTCCCTACGCGATTGATCCAATTCTTAGAAATAACCTTTGAAAGACTTAGACAAAGTTGTTATTTTTTCAAGTGCTAACATTTGTAAGTTAATAAATCAATAATTATGCTGACGTTTGCGAAGATCAACTTTCGTCATCGCCACGGTTAAATTCATAGCATCACTATTTAATGTAAGATCTGTTTAACGCTTAAGCCTGTCAAGATAAGTATGTAAGATGTGTCAAGTGGGCAAGAAAAGGAGAATGCCAGAAAAACAAGAAGTGGATGTCAGACCATTGTCAAAGAAGCTGTAAGATATGTAATGGTAAGTCGCAATGGGAATATCTCATACAGTAATACAAAAAATTGACAATCTAGCTCCATAGCTTAGCATCCCGATTAGCCATCATAGCAACACGTATTCTGTACGTACGAAGAGCTCTGAATTTTCATATTTTTTAAAGATCAAACGTCTGTTACCACACCCAATAAAAAGTGTATAGACACCAACAAGATTCAATGCCCGCTTTGGGCAAAGAATGGAGAATGTAGCAAAAACAAGGCTTGGATGTATAAAAATTGTTCAAAAAGCTGCAAGATTTGTCAAGGTTAGTATCTCAAAAATATGATCTGATTCCGACAGAAATTACATATTTTTACCACACTTGTTTAAATTCTCGCGCCCTGATTGGCTGATTAGAGTGTATCAATAAAAAGACATTCACACTGTGCTGATACCAACACGTATTTCACGCGCGCTCAGTTGGAAGAAAAAAAGAATGATTTTCACTGATTTCGCTGCTCTCGTTGGTCCACTTGAGTTTTGAACATCGTATGAAGCCAATTAAAGGGCATACAACGAAAAACCGTGCGCAATTTGTTAAATTTAACATCAGTGCTGGGCTCAGGCTTCAAACAAGTACAAACCGATGGAAACGGTGTATTATGTAACTCGCAAATGAATTTTAAAAGATCACATCAATATTCATTATCCTTGTTTATCAGGAGCACCTTGCACTGACAAGAACACCAGTTGTAAAGCATGGGCTAAGTTGGGAGAGTGCAAAAAGAATCCTGCATACATGAAACTAAAATGTAAAAAATCATGTGGATTGTGTCAGTAGGTAGGTATAT